TCAAGCATTAGCTAATATTGTATAATCAGGATAATCTATGTTTTTTCTATTTAAACACATGCTCTGTTTTTTCTATGTTTTGTACATCTTGTTACTCCCACTCCCCTCTTCAATGCCCATGGCCTTGAGGGTATAATAAATAAATAAATAAATAAATAAATAAATAAATTTTATATGAAGCCTTCACACAATCTTATGAATGATCTGAGACAGTCAAGCGTCCAACGCTTGACTGTCTTGTTCCTCAGTTGTTCAACTATTCATAGAGAAACCTAATAATATCTGGGGTTCCATGTGCTACGATTTCACAGACTTTGTGTTCAAGATGTGGAAGCTGCGGAGGCAAGTTTCTTCCATAAATGCGATGTATGTAGTTACTACCGAAAATACCAGAGAAGGAGTTCATAACTGCGTATAATAGTTTTAAACACTCAATGCAAAAACAAGAGTTTCATGGTACAATGTTCAGTGATTGCAGAGCTTGTGTTGGTGAGAAATTTCGCCTGTAGCTGTGGCAGATGAAGCGGATGAATTAAATTGAATGAATGGCGGAACTCCATGCTATCAAGCATTTAAAGGTTTCATTGTTTATAGGGGTTGTTATGATCGGCCTCCCTGACATTGCACCGCTTGGACGCGAGACGGTTGCGGGACAGCACTCCCACAGGTGAACCACAAGCGACAACGACACGCAAGCAGTACTTGGAATTTTGCAGGGCAGCCGTCTCCCCTCGTAGAACCCTTTGAGCACGCCCGACCAACTGGCGACCTACAAAGGGCTGTTTACAGTCAAAACGACTTAAAGAGGGTTGTTTATGTACGTCTCTGTTCATCAGAGTGCCGTGGACAATAAGCCAAGCGACTGAGAACCGTCTGCAAATGCATTTCTAACATTCTCTGTGGTGCCTAATACCGCTGTTTCCACAAGTCGCGGTCTGCCTGGCGCCACATACTCTTCAATGCAACAGACTACGAAATTGACTTCCATGTAAGAGTCAACGTCTTCATGCTGTCTGTGTCATGCGCAATGTGCAGTGTTTTCTCCCTCGCCATGGGCTGAACTGGGCGTGCCTCTTTCCCCTGTCGTAGGTTAGGAAGGAGGCGGCGTTTCACCTTCCCCTTTCGGGGGGGGGGGAAGTGAAGAGGACAAACTTTACTGGACTGTCCTGGCTTCCAATGTTTTTTTTTCCTGCAGGGAATCCTGGGAAGGCCAGGACATGAAAATGCGACCGCTGAGGCGTTCCTGACAAGCTCTCACAAGCACCGAGAAGCTCACAGAAGCTCGAGGGCTTCCATGATGCTAACCCAATCATGTAGCAACACGTTACCTGTAAATAATGTAAATAAAAGTTACTGTTAGCAGCTCCTGGCTCCTCTCCTCGACATGTCCCCGAGACTCTGGCTGGCTCCGGTCCTCAGGGCAGAACCCCGGTAACATCAGGGTACCAAACGACAGGTGCATATTCAAGAATAGGGTGAATCAAGATTTTTATTTAAAAAAAAGCAGTTTGGTATCACGATGGGTTTCAGATAAAGTATGGCACAAATAACCCAATTTTTTATAAGTATAGTTCTGTTTATGTTTCGTTCAATTATGCTGGTTGTTTTTCCAAAGTCAAAAATTCATGGGCTATTTAAAGCATATATGCCTATGGCTTCCATAAAGGGATGTATCACATAACTTAGCTATGGTATGACCATATTCAATGTGATGCTTGCTCTTTCTATAAAACTACCAGCTAATACCAGTGCCACACTGATGCACAAAAAGAAATTTAGTAATGAAGTAATTCTGTTACTGAATGACATTCTTTTGTAGTGGAGCTGCTACATGACCAGAATAAATTACATTTTACTTGATGATGTCAATCGCATTATCTTCTATAGTAAGCAATTGTACAATAGTAATGAAAAATAAACGTGTTTACAGTCTCCATAAACCTCGGCATTTCACAAAACTAAATATGAAGTGAACTTTATTTTGTGTGCACACCCAGGCATTGTACAGGATGTAGAAGTATTTGGCAAGATCCGATACAGAGACTATAGAACGGTAAGAGCTTTTATTCACCAGGATTTAAAAAAGCAAAAGCATCAAGTGATACACAACAAGCCAATTAACGAGCTAGCAGTGAGAGGGAATGTACAGGAATTCAGACTTTCGCTTCAAAATAGACTTGTCACTATGAATGAGGCAACAGATGATAGCATTGACAGATTGAATGATAATCAAACTAGTATTCATAAAAGAGTGTGCAATGGAAGTCAGAGGGTCAGTCACTAAACAGGACACTGGCAAACTGTACCAGGAGATGACAGACCCTCAAATGCGATTGACAAAAAAGAGCTAGTGGAGCTTTCGAAGTTAATCAATAGGCAGAGGGTAGCCAACATAAGAAGGTATAACATGGAGAGAATCGAGCAGGCTGTAAAAAGTGGCAGAAGCCTAAAAGTTGTGAAGGCAAACTTGTGCATACGCAAAAAACTGATGTATGCATTAAGGGATAGGGAAGGCAATGTCATACTCAATATGGATAGGATAGTTGAAATAGCCGAGGAGTTCTACAGACAGCTGTGCAGAAGCTGAAACTATTAGGATGATATCGTAAGAAGCAATACTAGCGCAGAGGAATTCGACATCCTACCAGTAACGACAGGGGAAGTAATGAAAGCCCTAGAAGGAATGCAAAGAGGCAAAGCCGCTGGTGAGGATAAGCTAAGAACAGACCTGCTGAAAGATGATGAAAGATTTGTGTTAGGAAAACTCGCAACCTTATATCTTATGTACAAAATGTCTCTTGACAGGAAGAGTACGAGAATCTTGGAAGAATGCCAACATCATCTTAATCCATAAGAAAGGAGACGCCAAGGACTTTAAAAATTACTGGTTTACTGTCTGTTCTCTACAAGCTATTTACAACAATAATAGCTAATATAATTAGGACAGCATTAGAGTCAACCATCAATCAAAGGACTAAGCAATATTTAGTACAATCTACTCCACAATAGACCATCTTCATAATATCAATAAGCTGATAGAAAAATGCATGGAAGACAACTAACCCCTATACATAGCCTTCATAGATAACGAGAAGGCATTTGACTCGAACGAGATATCAGCAGTGACGCACACACTACAGAATCAGGGCATCGACGAACCCTACATAAAGATACTGGAAGAAAACAACAGGGGATTCACAGTTACCATAATTCTCCATAAAGAAAACGACATAATTCTAATAATGAAGAGTGTAAGGTAGGGAGACACAATCTCTCCAATACTATTCACCGCATGTTTACAGGAGGTTTTCAGGGCCCTAGATTGGGAAAAGTTAAGAATAAGAGCTGATGACATTGCCTTGATGAGCAATTCAGCGGACAAATTACAGCTCATGATTACTGAACTGAATATGAACACGGAAAGCAAAAGACTAGGTCTGAAAATTAATATGCATAAAATTAATGTGTGCCCAAAAATTTCGGCAGAAAAGAGTGCTTTGCGATAGGGGGAGAGACATTGGAAGTTGTAAAAGAATATGTTTACTTAGGATATATAGTAACCACAGAGCCGAACCATTCGAGTGAAATAACTAGAATAATAAGGATCCTGCGGACCACAATCGCCAAGCACTCTCAGATCATGAATGGTAATCTACCACTAAACCTCAAGAGGAAGGTATAAACAGCTGCATCTTGCCGGTACTTACCTACAGAGCAGAACTTTAGAGGCTTACAACGAGGGCCCAATTTAAATTAGGGATGACGCAGCGAGCGGTGAAAAGTAAAATGATAGATATAACTTTAAGAGACAAGAAAAGAGCAGAGTGGGTCAGGGAACAAATCAGGGTTAAAGATATCATAGTTGAATTTATGAAGAAGTGGACTTGGACCAGGCACTTAGTGCGTAGGCAGGATAACTGCTGGTAATTAAGGGTAACTGATTGGATTCCCAGAGAAGGCAAACACACAAGGGGGAGACAGAAAGTTAGGTGGGCCCATGAGATCAAAAATTTCGCAAGTATAACCTGGTGGCAGAAAGCACAAGACCGGATTGATGACAGATCATGGGAGAGGCCTTTGCCCTGCAGTGGGCATAGTCACGCTGACGATGGTGTTACCTCCAAGAATAATTATGTGTATAAATAAGCAAACTATACAGTCATTAGCTTCATTGCTTTGTTTCACTGACCATAGCTAACTAAGTCAACGCTACTCAGATCCACAGCATAAAAATAAAATGGCACCTCTTGCATCCAAAATACAGGGTCTACCAGCTGAGGATGTTCATCAAGTGATTAGTGTAAATAAAAACTAGAAAATTTGTTCGCAACTGAATAGGATGCCATTTTATGTAATCTAGGTATATGGCACTTCGTCAGCTGCGCCATTGAGAGTATGGGTTTCTCAGTTGAATGAGTTCTGGTGATGGCACTTGGTGACAAATGGCATTTGGGCATTTATGTTCGTCCGTGTGGCAGTAAACGGAATTATATCTGAAGTCACTCGGCAGTAAATGCCATTTCCTCTGGTCATGTGGCATGGGTACTACAACGCTTATATCAAACCCTAATTCAAATATGTTTTCTCTGTTTTGCCTTCCCCAGAAACTTAATTAATTGAATTAACACAAAAGGACATGCTCATCTACCCTATTCATCAAACACACTGCAAAATCACAATGCTTTCAGTGCATGACAGCCTTTGTACATTTTGACTAATCACATTCATCAATCCAGCTCATCACATTCCTAACCACAGGAGCACTGATAATGGTGCATAGCTCCTGTGGCTGCAGCACCATTCCCATTGAATTTTTTTTATCAGTACTTAAATTGGCTAGAACGATTGTTTATAAAATGCTACCCTTCATCTCCTCACTTCAAAACCACTTCCTAATCACTTTTGGTGCTGTTGTACATGAAAAACAGAGCAACAGATTTGTGGCACTTCTTGCATGTTTGTAATGCTTACAGACAACTTGAAAAAAAGAATAAACTTACTCATTGTCGGCGTTGATCAACACTGAGCTCATCATGCAGATATATGATGACTCATTTGTGCAGATGCTGTAAAAAAATCATAAAAACATCAGCAAGACAACATTTTGAAAATACATGGGCAAACAATCCCATCGTACATAACAAGTATTCAGGAAAGCAGGATGTTCATTAGTTGCAATGCCACTTTAATTGCGTTAACACCTACTGCAGCGTCAGAAAAGTTGAACTAAATATTATGCAGCGGGAAACGGTTGACATGAGCATGATTATACTACTGTTAAAAAGCACCAGCAGACATATGTGCATTCAGTACCCCATCATAATTTAATGACTGTGGAACACAATAGAGAATTTTGGAGATAGGAGCCCCAAGGAAACAGGCTCAAGGCCACTGTGCATGCATGTGACCAAAGCAGTGTTTGGGTTTGGCATTGAAGGCACTATTTCTTGAATAAAGCAGGATCCCCAAAACCTGGCCCAAAACCTTTGCATCAAGCATAGTGGCTTTTAGCGACAGATCTCGGCCCAAGCCAAGCATCTTGTGCTGGAAGCACAAGACACAAATGGTGAGCACAAATTCATATTCAAAAACTATTACCTTCCTGTTTGACCCAAAGTCGGCACAAGCAAAGCACTTTGGGGTGCCAAACATTTGAGGTTCCTATTCGAAAACTCTCTAATAACTAACTATACTTACAGCATTGTCATATTGTGAGGCAGCATGTCATTATGTCGGTCATATTGTATGGACACATATTAATGTGTCAGGAAATGTACCAACTTTGGTATGAGACCATCTTGATGGTGTAGAGGAAGATTGTCAGTGAGGTTACTGGAGCGAAAAAATACACCTTGTTGAAATTACATATGCCAGGGCGCAGCTACATATTGAATGCATAATATCCAGAATAAATAAAGGTGATGTTCCTTACGCAAATCTTACTCAAGGTCTTCGGAGCTGGATATGTCATCGCTGAAATGATTCGTCCTGAAAATTTGTAAAAGTGACATACAATTTTCACATCTCTCTAATGTCATTTGTGAATACCTTTAATTAATTTGCATACCTGCTCAGATTCACTCCCGGGGAATTCGCTTCATTCATTGAAGAAGAGGATAAAGACCTTCCTTCTCGTAGCACTTCAGTCACTGTACAGCAGCATGTCGTCGGTTTGGTCACAGCTGTCCCTTGAAGGCAATGGGCTGGCTTGGACACCTGTGCAATGAAAATATTTTGAAGACTGTTCATTGAGTGTCAATGTTTCTAGGATAAAGATAATAACAGTCACTTCTCTCACCAGTAGATTGTTTCTTGACGTACGTCTGTACAGCCTTTGTATTCTGCCCATGCACAGTTTGCACATAAGCATCACGTGCCTGAGGCTGGAACTTCCTGCGCTTCACTGTACCAAGTGGTAGGTATCCGTTTGGCAGCTCCGGTCATACCGATTATTGCTCTCTGCACGGCCAGCCTCTGGTAAGAAAACGCCCGATTGCTCTGATCCACTTCTCAGGGAGAGCTCCGCCACTTGGAAAGTCACGATAACAAACTCTCTGCGTCTTTCGTGAGCTTTATGTGCACCCTGCTGGATTAAGAAAAAAATAGTACTGATTGTAGGCATAAGTCTGGTGAGCGAAGCATACCAGTTTGAACAACAGGCGTTTTGGGCAAATACACTGAACCGGTATGACATACTCGAGATCACCACCTGGGCAGCTACAGAAGAAACGTACTATGCAGCTACAGAAGAAACGTAGATACCTGTGGAGTTTCCTACACTGATGAACCTTCCTGTCCCCTCCTCCATTGTATAGGGTTTCATACTTTCGTTTTCAACAATGCGCACGACAAACGAAACAGGAACAACGTTACCTTGATTTATGAAGCAAGAATACAGAACAACAAGACATCACAACTGGGCAATGAGAAAGTACTTATTGATGGTACATGCTGCTGTTACACATCGTACGTTTTCTGCAGTGCAAATTATGGTTTCAAAAGCTATGGAGCGAGAAGACCGAGCTTCCAAAAATTCGGTTAATTAAACCTCTTCGACAGCCGCGACTATAAACGTCCCACCCTCTGGATCGAGGACACATATGCGTCTGCCATAGCTACAGTTCCGAGCCATATTTCGTTCTAACCGCGTCCACTCGATTGCGATCGTGCCTCGCGATGACTATTCCGGTGAGCGTCTTCTCGATACCGAGAGTTCGGCCGCGTGACAGTCTTTATTTCCGACTTTATAAGGTACAGCTCCACTACGATCGAGACGTTTTGAGTGTTAGTGTCAGTGTGCCACACAACAGCGAATTGTAAAATAACGCCGCACACTCGTACGCGCCCCTCTCGCACCGTTTGTGCACGATACGGGCACTTTCCTCGATGATCTGCTACTGACTTGATATGTAAGTAAATAGACGTTTAAAATGTTCTTTCACGTACCTGCGCTTTCCTTTTGACGACTATTTCTCGTGCTTCTGGATGGCACGCCTTGTTAAACACTGTCGGCACAGCGTCCTCTTTCAAACGCCTTTGGAAGTGTGGCTGAGACAAGCCAAAAGCTTCTTTCAAGAAAACGCTGTCCTTATAGGCCTCCGGCGTGAAATGATCGGAACACACGCGTGCCGTTTTCTTTGGTAACCAGTTCCCCCGCCTGATCGCTCTGATCCACTTCTCACGAAGAGCTCTGTCGCTTGGAAAGCCGTGATAGCAAACTCTCTGCTGTCTTTTTTGAGTGGTTTGTGCAACCCTCAACGCAACACCAACTACCACCCATCGCATAACCTTCCACACGCACTGAACAGACAATCAGCGCACCACACCAGCGAGCGAAGCGCTGCCGACGAAACGCCGCCGCCGCCGCTGACCACGGGCGCAGTGTTGCCAGGTCGGAAGAAGCGGCGTAGCCAAGAGAGAGAGAGAGAAACAACATTTTTCGCGCATCCGGCGTGCGGGAAGTCACCGGCCGCGCAGGGCGCGGGTATTCCCTATCTAAAGACTATGGCTCATAGTCCTATTGTCCCAGGCCCTAGATCTTGAGGACGTTGTGCTCTGGCTAGGCGTTGGATACTCGAGCTCCTCCGCTCCCGTTGTCCGGGGCATCGGTTCTCTTTCTCGTCTGCTTTGCCAGGGCCTCCTCAAGCCGCTGGACGGCCCTCAGCGTAGCCAAAAGCTAGAGCAACTGTAGCCCAAATGTAGCCAAAGACAAAAAATTGGCAAAAATATTGGCCAAATATAGCCATTCACATTTGCCGTTTCAATTAACATTTTCACTTTTGACAATATATATTTTTACAATCCGTTGTTAGTGTATTTCCTAAAGCGACTAGAAACCACGATGTGACTATGAGAGATGCCTTAGAAGAATACTCCTATAATATTGGCCAACTGTGGTTCTGCACCTACATCTGAATACAAGAAAACGTGAAAGTATCAATGTTCAGGCACTTCTTAAGTGTGTGTGTGTGTGTGTGTGTGTGTGTGTGTGTGTGTGTGTGTGTGTGTGTGTGTGTGTGTGTGTGTGTGTGTGTGTGTGTGTGTGTGTGTGTGTGTGTGCGCGCGCAAATAAATTGACTTTGTATACCGTTGGGCAAACTTTCGACCATAAAAAGATTAATGAATAAAATTAACAGACAGCACAATTTCGTGCAAACCGCGCCGCATCAGTCAATCACTGTTGGAAGTTACCTTCCGAAGCCAGCTATCACCAACTAAGCGTTATTTTACACAGTGCAAAAGATGACCAACAATTTGTCAATTAGACGCTAGCTTTTGCCGCTGTCCCTGCAAATATAAGGTTGGTGCGTAGAATGCAGTTTAGCACCACCTAATAACAAAAGTAAGTGGCCGCTGTTACGCCTGCTGAGTCCACACCGAACGTCAATGCCCCTGCAAAGGCGATCTGTGTCAAGGCCAGCAATAGAGCCCGCCTGACACGATCGACTCAACGACGTCATCGAAGCGGCGGCGCTGGTCTGTCACGCAACGCACAGCGAGCTCCCTCAGCCCACGAGCCCGTTGAAGCAATCGGCGCCTTCCAGTCTGGCGAGTCCTACGCAATGCGTGGCGACGTCACTCGTCCTTGGCTACAACCACGCGCAGCGGCTCCGAATTCGATGAGCATGACGCGGCCCAGCGGCGGGCCCCTTTGGAGGATTCTGACATCATGGCCAGCGGCGCTTCTGGTTGGACATTTGGTGACTCAACGGATTCACTCGGTGCCTATAAAAAAGCCCTGCGGCGCGTCGACAGCCGTAGTGTGTCAGTGAAGCCTCTCGTTCGTCGAGCCCCTTTCGCAGTCCGCGCGCCCGGAGTCCTTGGCAGCGGCGAGTTTCGTGGCGCCCTTCGTCGGCGGTGCGCTTCGTAACAGAGAGTAGTAGGAGTAGTAGTAAATATCTATTTCAAAAGAAAAACAGAGGTTGCTAGGGAGACGAGCCCCTAGTGGGTCAGCCTCCCTGCAGTACTAGGTGGAATCCCTAGTCAGGGACCCCATTGGTCGTGGCCGCTCTCCTAACACGCTGGACCATAACTCATTGGGCCGAAAGCTCCAGGCAACCGAGGCCTACTGGACCTGCTCTACGCCATCTACAGACGCCGACAACATCTCTCGCAAGTGTACCCCGTCCTCGGACTCCAGTGACCGTGCTTCCATCTTTCCTGTCTCTCCTATCCCCTCAGTTTGTTGTTGCTTCTTCTTCCTCTTTTCTATACCTTTACTCCTAACTTTTATATCCCTCGTCATCCCCATCCCTTGTGAGCCCTGTGGCGGTGTCGCTCACTGAAGCAGACAATAACGGGGCTCACTTTTCTCTTCCTTTCTCTTTCTTAAGAACCACTACGCCCAGTCTTCTCTTGTTGGATTTGGGTTCGGGGGTAAAGAAGGATTGAGCTGGCATGCCCATACCATGTGGTAGTTGTCAGTCACCTCCACACAGTACTGACAGAGGCCGGAAAAGGAAGAGTCAAAATGTTTAAGCACTGCCAGGCACAGTAAAGTATTGGTAAATAGCCGGAGAAGAATTTTCTCGTCCGCCTTCCTAAGTCCTTTGCAGGGCGGAGGAAAACGGTGGTGGGAGTCCCAGCAATAGGTAATTATCTCTCTATAAGTTAGGAGAGCAGCGTTTTCTTCTGAAACACAGCAGTCATCGGTGGGCGAGGCAGTGGCCCGAGGAAAAAGTGCACGGGCGGCAGCGTGCGCCGCCTCGTTACCTGCGAGGCCCTGATGGCCAGGAGTCCAGACTATTGAACACGGAGAGGGGTAACCTACCCGCGGAAAAGATTTAAGAATTTTGGCAGCTAGGGGTGTGATCCATCCCAGTTGAAAATTTCGGCGAGCTCCTTTGGAGTCTGATAATATACTTTGAGAACTGTCGCGTGATATAACCAAAGCTATGATCACCTCTTCAGCATGGGTAGCATTGGTTGCGCGGAAGGACAGACCATCCACCGGCCTGTCCTGGTGGACTACGGCGGCCGTATACCAACCCCCGCGGTAAGGGCCGGTGATGTCCGTGTAAAAAACGTTTTGTTTAGAGCCGGATTGGCGCCAGAGAGCAAGAGCCCGCGCCTCTCGACAGCCACCGTGCGACTCGCGTGACATATTGGGGGGCAGGGGTCGAACATGAATCGCGTATTTCCAATGTTTCTGCACTCGTACCCGCTCCTCTGTGTAGAATTCATGCCGAATGTGCAGGCGATCTAGGAGTCGTCTGCCTGACGGGGTCTGCGCCAGACGCGTGTATTGATTTGTTAGGTGAGCCTCCCGGAGCTCCCGATAGGTGTTTACCGCTCCCAACGCAAGAAGTTTTGCATTGGAAGTAGTGATCGGGAGACCTAGGACTCTCTTGACAATTTTGCAAAGGGTGACCTCCAAGGAATTTTCATCGTGCTTCCGTAAGTGCAGGTACGGAGTCGCATACAAGATGCGACTAGTCACAAAAGCATGTGCGAGACGAAGCGCATCCTTGCTTTGAGACCTCCCCGCTTGTTGGAAATTCGGCAGACCATGCGGCCCACCTGTTCTCCAAACTTACGCAGCTTGTGAAGTGTTGTCTCTACCCTACGGTCTTTGTGAATGTCGAGTCCAAGGACACGGATTTTCTGTGCCTCATTAATAGATCCACTATGCAGGGAAAGGTTGATGGACGAAGTGCACTTCACCGACGGCCGAAGGTGCACGAATTCGGACGTCTGTGGGGAACACTGGAGGCCGCAGTACGCCGCATATTCGTCCACTATATAGGCTGCGGTCTGCAGGCTGTCCTCCATGCTGCCCAGGCATCCTTCTGTGGCCCACAGAGTGATGTCGTCGGCATAAAGCGCATGCCTTACCCCGTCGACAGCAGCCAAGCGGGCCGGGAGCTGTGCCATAGCTAAGTTGAACAGCAGAGGCGACAACACAG